ACTGCTAACAAAGTCTCCCTTGCACACACACAGACAGACAACGATAATTTCCCTCCCCCCCCCAGTCACTGATTCGAGGAGGCCAACCCGATGTTTCTCCGAATGGTGTCGGACATCAACAGACACTTGTCTACTCTACGAAGTGGCCTTCGTCTACAAGCGATGAGGAACTGCGCGATTTCTATTCCTGCCTAACGAGCAGGATGTCGCTGGAGAAGGTTCAAGTGTTTCCTGCGGTTGGCAGGTTCAGATGCCACTGACGGTAAGTCTGTCGCCGTTGGAGGAAAGCTGACTGGAACGCCGGAAAGGTCAGTTCACATCGATGAGACGAGATTCGCAGAACACATTATTGATGGTGTTGTAGACGGAGATGATCCTGCTGAAGACGATGGTGGTCCACAACGGGATTATCGGAGCCACGACTCACGCGTTGATGGTGTCTGCGTCCATTCAAGTGGTATTCAGCAACACTGGTTCCGATTATTCAACAGACTTGCCTGTCGGAGCAGGTCTGATGCGTGGCAATAGTGAGTGTAAATTCATTCACAACACCCTCTGTAGTTGATGCAAGGTCGAAATTGAGCATAATGCGTCGAGAAAGCCATGGGGTGTTGTGTGTGTGGCTCAACAAGTGAACCGCTGTGGCGTCTTCGATGTTCAGCTGAAAATTTAAGCGTTCCAAAATAACGAGGCCACACGTCTTGGCAGACTTGACTCGATGGCCAAATGCTCGCACCCTCTGAACGGTGGTTTTGCACAGGCGGATTGAGTTCCATTGTGGCTTGTGCCACAGGTGGTCAACCGTGTAGGTCTAAAGGGATAACTGGAGTGTGTTGTTGTGAGGCCGATTTTGGTGGCGAATCGAGACAAACTGACCGATGACGTGGGAAACGTGAGTAAGACGGAGGGGTTGCTGGTTCCATCGTCAGCCTCGTCGTTGTTACCTTGTTTGCATTAAGATTTGCTGACTTTGTTGGCTGATTTGGCCTAGAATATTTGTAAGCCAATCCGTCCAGGTGCGTTTGATTTAAAATTGTGAAAAATGTCTTTTTTACATAATATCTGACCTACGGAATGCATATTGATTTTTTAATTGGATGAATTCAAACCACGGTGAGCGCTGTTCAGCTGATCGATAAAGGCACCAAGCGATCTCTGCTCGCGCGCGCTCACATGCAAATTTAAACAAAAAGAGCGATGCTTGTTGTGGATTGTGTCGCAGTGTACCGATATCGGGTACTTCTGGATACACATTCAAGCGAGATTAGACGACGCTGACTCATCGTGACGCGGGAGCTCGTTCAACAGCTCATCGACGACTGTGTGTCTGACCACGACCACGAAATTGTCGTAAGTCTTTGTGCGATCGCAGTTGTGTACATCCAGTTAGTCAAAAGAACTTATGAGGAAAAAAATTTGGATTTTCGCCTCATGTCCACTTCAGGCACATTCCTAGCGTGTTGTGCAAGACGATTTGAACCTTGAAAATAGAAGGGGCGTGTTGTTGAACTGCCCCGGATAACCACTGTGATAGTTAGCAGGACAAATTATCGATTTTGTTGTGTGTCAGAAGCCATTAAATCTAGGAAGAAGAATATAATGGTGATTTAAGGACTCGACAAGGATTGAACTTGAAAGAGTTTGTGAAATCATTGGTAAATTTTGGAGTTTTGTGCTGTGGACTTGACAAAATGTTCTGGTTTATAACAAAAAAGGAGCATTTGTAGAGGTGTGTATGTTTCGAAATTGCCCACAAACAAACCTGACTTTGTGCATCTCGGCAAAAACCAATTCCTACTACCTCTAGGTTCCGCTGAAATGTTGGAATTTGCACATACATTTTGCTCCTTCATTGTCAGGCTACAAAAGACAAGCTTACAGTGTGTGTGTGTGTGTGTAAGTCACTTATTTCGTTGGAATTTTTTACTGTAAGTTACCAAAAGATTACGCCTTTGCTTTGAAAAAAATCTCTCACCAATCGCGGCATTAGTGGCACATCGCGGCACTCACGAACGACACTCGTATTTCGTTGCCTAAGCTTCCAATCTCTCAGTATTTTCAATCTGTTTTAATGTGAATACTTGATTACGCATTAGCCAATAAAAATTAAGAGAAGTCGTGTCAGTAACTTGCTGAATCCCTGTTTGAAATGTTGGTGCAAAGAGTATACTTGCAGAATGTACTCTCAAAATGCCTCAAACGGTGTGGCTCCGAGACAAATGTTTATATTTCTTCTTGAATCGGGGAATTCGGAATAATTATTTGTTACTTATCAGGTGATTTCTACATATAAAGACCGTTTAAATAACTACGCTAGTATCCGCGTGAAGAAGTGATTTATCAAACAAACCATCCTATTATGTTGATGGAGCCGCTTAATCACAGGCACACCACTCCCCATGCATTCCTGCCTCTTCTCCACTGTCTAAGCGCCAGCCAACCAATCGGAACAGTGTTCGTATTCGTACAAACTCAATGGCGCTAGTTTAAATCACCATTTTCGTAATTTCAAATAAGCGCCACGGCAACTTCCGAAATTGACGCCATGGTTTCATCAGAGGCCGAATTTCGTGCATTAGAGTTTCGATTCACTGCTAAATCGGCCAAATTTGACCTTGACAGTGTTCATCCAATCAGACGCGGAGTAGATCTTACCCGAATATGTACACCCAACAGATTGTTAAAGAGGACTTCGAGGATAAAGATGAAAAACTTTGATGGTGGTAGGGGTAATTTAGGACATGGCACGAGTCCACGCATCATGATCGGGTCAGATCGAACTCAGCGACCCCAGCGTGATCCAAGACCACACGGTGAGGACTGCAGCAACTCCAACGCTATTTCTTAAATAATTTTTGTGTAAAAATCGATTTTCTCTTTTACTCATTGATTTACAATTTGCTAGCCTACGAAAGGGATTGTTTGTTGACATTACACAAAATTCAGATCAAGCAACATTTCTGCTAGTTTTGATTGGTTAATCCGTCATCAAATATTCATACCAAAAGTTAATCTTAACAGTTGTGAAGTCTCTCGTAAATCTTGCTACCACTCGATTGAGGCAGATCCAATGGTATTTGCACCTAGTCGTAGTTGTGTAATTTGCATTTTTACAAAATTTCACACAATTTTTTTCAATTTACAAGACTAGAACTCTAGAGATTGTTTCGCATAATTTGAATAAATGCACGTCAGTTTTAAATGTGATCTTACCCGCGAAAACTAAGGAAACAGATTGATTTAGCACACATTGACCTTTTGTGCTGACTACGTGTCCGCTTTCGTTTCTTTTTTACCCCATTCAGCTGGTTTTGTGTATGAATTTAGGCAAATCACGAATATTTATCTCTTTCAGCCTCATTCAAACCTGTGCGCTAACTTGACAGGGTGTCATTTTATTGATTGATAAGTAGACACAATCTTTCTTCTGCTATTTCGACCACTTCGCTGTTGATTGGTTAATTTCGTTTGTTTAAATGCACTTGCTTTGCGAATAATATCAGCCCCCATCTATAACTGTTGTCATTAGGAGATTTTTAGGCAAATTCCTATTCGTAGAGTGTAACTTTACAATTTCGAATCATCTTTTTTCTAGAAAGGAGGAACTGGTATGCGATCCTGCTTTGATGCTATTAATACCACATTACTCGAGTGAACTGGAAACAAGAAATGTTATTTTTCTCGAAATAAAATTGCAGCTATTATCAACTAGTTTGTGGTCATGCATCGTTCATAATTTATAAAAAATTGCCTGTCGCAGTTTTTTTCAAAATGGTAATTTTCAAACCAAAAAAGCAGACATTTTGAATTTTTTTACCTTGTCCACAACTACTTTAAATTTTGCGCTTACTTTGTTTGAGAATAAACAAACATTTTATTGAAAACCAGATTGAAGGCTTAACTTTGTCCTTAACTTATCCAAATTTGTGATACGGTGCCTAAATGTGGGTCTGTGTTTCGCTAAAATGGTATTTTTTTAATAATTTCCTCGACTATAGTTACAGTAAGAGCAATAATCCTGCCATTAGCGGTGTATTCACTAGCCGTTGTGCAGATTATTGATTAATCGATTGCTCAACCTGCGACTACTGCTAGCCGAGGCAGCTGATGTGCGCACATCGCACCGGCGCCAATTTGACTGACGCGATCGATTCATTGTACGAGAATTATCAGACTTAATAGAACACAAAGAAGTCCCTCCACGTGGGTTCTATGAGACTCAATTTAATTACGTGTGACGTTAATATTAGCTAATTTAACCTGTTCCACCAACGCCATTTAACTTTCACGTTTCTTTGATCTACTCTGCATTAATCTAGCAGAAAAATCTAACAATTAATCAAGTTACGTCCACACTCTGTGTCTGTGTTGGTTGCATCAACGGATTGACGAGTTGCGCGCGATTTACTAGAATGTTCTTGTGTCGCTGCCGGACATATTTTGCTACTTGCGCCATCTTCAACGTCAGACCTGTGTTTTCCTGTCGATGAGGACACGTGAAGAGTTGCACCGTAGCTTCCACCACCTCTTCGACTTCCAAAAAAACCCTAGGGAATGTTCGATTCTACAGAATTATAAACTCCCTTGTTCTGTGCAGGTGTCCGAAATCAGAGTTAAAATATCCAAGGTTAACTACGCCATTGTCCAGTTGTATCTATTTCCCAAACCGTCATTATGTTGAGACACAACTGCCAGTGATGTAATGAGAAAATGTGGAGATATCATCTCGAATGCCGACACCCAAAAAACACGATACATTGAGTTTTCGTGTCAAAATACGATGAAAGCCTGCGCCTAATTGTGTACTACCACGTTCTTTGTTTAACGTTTATTTAAATAAGGGGTTGCTGATGCTATTGTAAACACTTACGCAACACTAACACCCTTGGTTCCCACATTGGACTAAGTGAGAAATGATTGGTCGAATCTGTGTTCACAAATCGTGTTCATTATCGATTACTTCCCAAACTGTTGGCTTAGCTTCCTAAAAACAGGTAATAAGGCGCTGAATAGTGTTTTCGTGGAAACCTGAGCATAATGACAGTCTCATCAGTACACCGATGCTTCCCTGAAATTGCGTTCTTCTTCTAGCTGGCATACTGACAATTACCGTATCATACGTAATTTGAAAGCGCAAAATCTATTCATAAAGGCCTTTCTTAAACCAGCAGTTGCTAAGGTGCGAAAGAGCCCAGAATTCAAGTATCCAAGATGTCAGTAAATGGGTACCAGGCTACTGCAATTTTCTTGTCAATCCATGATTACAATTCTATACAAACGGAAACAATGATAATTAACTTGTGTCAACACTCTCCTGGTGCACATACATATCACACAGGTTCACATACATTAATCTATGCAGGCTTTGGTAGCGAGGTCACTTAAAGTGGGCTGTTTGTGTGTGTGTGTGTGTTGGGAGAAGATGCGAGAGAGTTACTTGTAAATCACCACAGGCTTCAAACTAGGTTCAGGGGGTCGAGCTGCCTGTTTGGCATGGGTTTCGCAGTAGAGCATTGAGTTGATGTAGAAGTAGCCGACATTCCTCAGCCCTATGCCACATTTGCAGCATTTGAGACAGGAGGGGTGCATGGGGATCTGGCCTTGCACCCTGACGAACTTGCCGCCAGTTATGAGCTCCTGACAAGCGCCACATCGCATGCTCCCCCCTGACACCTGAGGCGCTGGTCGAACATTTGCGAGGTCAGCTCTGGCCGAGACGACGGTGCTGCGGAAGGAGGTGTTGACGTTGTCCTTGGAGTACAGGCCCATGGGGGAGTTGTATGATGAATGCGTGAGACGCTGTAGACGTCCGCCTGCACCTTGCGAAACCATCGCCTCACCTGCTCGCGGCACCTTGTCGGAGATGTCTGCGACACCGTCGGGCGTCATTCTCATGGTCGATGTGACGCTGACCGGTTCCAGCGGTATTGGGACTCCAGCTGCGACGGTGTTGTCATAGTCTCGGCGTTCAACTATGAGGTCAAACGCGTTGCTGGAGCGCACGATCTCCATTTTGGCGTCCTCGTGTTTCATGAACCGCGTTTCAGCTGCGTTGATGCACACAATTATGTCGCCTGGTTTAAGTCCGCATGCCTCTGCTACACTACCAGGCGTGACCTTCTGAATGTTCAACGCGTGTCCCAGGTCAATGCCGCCCTCCAAACGGAAGCCCCAGGGCACGGAGCTGTCTGGACGGGAGAGTCGAACACGCAGACGGGTGGACATCTAGTGGGTGTGTGTGTCTGTGTGTGTGCGCAGCAGAAGACTGGGCGTGCGTTTTGTAGTTGTGCGGGCTTACGCAGACATTTGTTGGTGTGACCTTGGCTTCTGATTGGCCGCCTCTGCACTAACTGTTACAACCACAATCAATGCGACAAACAGCGGCAATCAGCTGATCTCTCTGACACACTGCTCCGTCAATTAAACGGCCAAACGACGTCTATACAGTGACAGCAATCGAACCATCTCCTGTCTATTTGAAAAATAATCTTCAAAGTAACAAGTACAAAATGGGTCGAAATTCGTGAATAGGTTAACCAGTCTAATCGTCGAAATTAGTGGCTTCTAAGTCCTCGAGTGTCAACTTCCTACAGTGCCAACATTGCTTTATGTGTAAAACAGTCAGAAAAAATCAATAAATTCGATAAAAAACCAGAAACAAGGTTTGGGTAAAAGTACAAAATAAAAAAAACCAAATACTAACCTATGATCTCTTTGTGGATTGCCGTGATTCATTATACTAGCTTAGATTTTTTTACAATTTACACACATCTTAGGTAAGACTACTGTTGGGGCTTGCAAATCTAGTTTAGAGGACCAATAATATGTAATTAAAATGGTGCTATGGCACCAAGTCGATTCCAAAAGTGGACCCGATTTCTGATGTCCAACTGGTGGTGTTCGTGATCGCTGACGCTGATTGGCTGTTAGCAAAGAGTTCACTATTCAGACTCATATTACATGTCATTTTTCCAGTGTTAGATGAGCTTTACACTGCAAACTGATTTAAAGAGACTTAGTGAAGTTCAAAAAATTTGTATTTTAAGTTTTGACAAATCGGTTGATTGCTTTTGTCATTCGTGCACTCTAAGTTGCAGAATTTTTCTTAAGATTCTGAACTGCAGTGATCAACTTCAGTTTGCCTGTTTGACAATACGCACTAGCAACGTCTTATCGATTGAAAAGTATCGCATTAAAAAAACGTCGTTTGTTGATTTAAATTGCCCAAGCCTTTCTGGTTGGTTAATTCCCAGTTTTGATTGTGAGCCAGAATTTGTAATTTTTGTTTAAATTAGCCCCTTTCTTATACTTTTAGCACAATTTTCTTGTTAGTTTTTAACAAATTTTAGGGAACTTCTAAGAGTAGAGATTCGTGGTCTAAAATCTGAGTTTATGGTTAAGAATGTCTTGTTACCTTTATCGTCCAATCAGACACGGATCTGCACTCATTGTTAATCAAAATTCATGAATAGGAAGCGGAAGATCATGGTTGGTGAGCCACAGCCACTGTTCAAGTTGCACCAATTACATTTATGAGCGTCCAAGTCGTAGCCAATGAAAACCCGCTCTCGTGAGCCAATCACGAATCGGTTATTTGCACGAGCGAAGAGCTAGGGCTCTGTCTGTGATCGAGCTACAATCTACCCATCCGAACACCAAAACTTTGCAAAATTTATAGCATTTAATGTTTCTTAAAAAACGATTTATCCAGTTAATTTGCTTGCACTTAATCTTAGCGAATGCGGCTTTGTAGGTTTGACTCCCGTTTTTGGGAAAACTTTGTACCACGATCAAGTTAAATTACACCACCGCGAATTCACTCCAGTCTAAAATCGCAGCCCAAAAAAATCAGCTGTTTAGAAGCCACTGTCTCTTCTGAGCACCTTGATAAAGCTGTACCACGCTCCCCTCATTCGGTTGATCCGCGCAATGTTCATGATTTGTGTGAATTTTCAGCAGAGCAAATTCTGACTGAAAGCCTATGTTCTAAGATCTTTACCTGCCAATGGTACTAATTCGCACTTAAGTAGATGCGGCTAATGTCTGTCAGTTATTTCCATTCCAAATCAAATTGCTTGTTGTGGGGTCACTGAATGTTGTGGACGCTGCATGTGGCCTTGAACCACATCGAGCCAATGAATGGATCTGGCCGATTACGCTTCCCTGTTAGCCTCGATGATGTAGAAGGCCGAAGAGGACGTGGACACAACCGTTGGTGTCGTTGCGCGTGTGCATTTATAACTTAAATGTGTGAGTCATAGATGAGCTAACATCGAGATCTAGGTGCGAGGATCATCCAGGATAAATGGCCGTGGGAATAAGGATCCGCGCGGCTGGCGACATGCTGCGAAAAAGGGGGGCCCTGTGTCGGAGGCTGGAGTGATCACATCAACGAGTGTGAATCAACGAGATTCACAATATGTTTGACCTGGAAACCGGAAAGCCTGTTTCGGACAATTTGGGTTTAACCTGAAACTTCTCATAGCTCAATTTGGAGACCAAGCTAAGAAGGGAATTCGTTGGGCCTCGGAAAAGCCGAAAATAGGGTCGAAATTTAAGCATCGATCTGTAGTGAATCTGACTGATTCCCGACTATTAACCCCTCCCTTTGACACCGTCTCTATCGACCTTGCGAAACCGCCTGCTCATCGACACTTTGTACATGTTCCTCCCTCCTACTACCCGTTTCTTTCACCTAACAGTTTAGTCATTTGTACTTATACAGTTTCACTTAGGCTGTATTGATCGACATGACCACATGGCGGGGCTTATAACAATTCATTTGTGGCCCTAATTCAAAATGCGCGATTTGTCTGCCGATTGAAGGTAAAGACCAAAAGCAGGAGTAATTACGCTAACTTCGGCCCCGAATTCCGTCAAAAAAGTAACCAGTTGCCTGTATCGGTGACGTAAAATAGGCAACTGGAAGGATTGCCCAAGGCAGTGGCAGTCAGCACGCCAACGCGAGTTGTATTCAGGATTGCTCGCGAACATGCCAGCGTGAATTCAATCGATTTGATCAAAATCGATTTTTTGAAGTCGTTTGTGACTTTTGTTCAGTGATTTGAATGTCGGACGGTTCTACATAAACTGAGGCCTCGTAGCACAATAAGCGGTTGACATCCCACACTGTTTGAATCCTCTGAGCTCCGGTAAAAATTTATGCACTTGTCGTGCCGAATTTTGATAGGCTGTTCTGACAGATGTCATTGCATGCCAGGTCTATTCCTAGTTTGAAAGTTGTCGACGCTGGAGCCGTCTACGTGAAATCTGGTTTATTTACAATGGGTGAAAGCGTTAGATATCTATCCATATAATAAGTTAATGTGCGGACAGAAAGACAAGAGGTATCGAGATTATCGAACTAAACTCAATAGAAACCATTAAAAAAAGGGTGAGCCATTTGTCTCAGACCAATCAGTGAAGAAGTTTCACTCATGCACACTCATTGGCCATCCACTGTTGGTGCGTCAACTATTTGGAATGAGACAATGTAGAATGCACGAGCCCTAGTGTGAAGAAGACTTATACATCAGACAAGGATTTATTGACCAATCACAAGCCAGAACCACACGTCAGGCGCCGTCCATCCGAGTCGACCACGGTGGCTACGCCGCTCAATATATACCGCCTCTTATCAGCGTCTGTCTCTAGGAGGCTGGATATCTCCCTCGCATGCCATTGGAACGCAGAGAGGCAGTGGATTGGCTAAGGTCAGCGTGGTCCAACATGTCTGCGCCCTTAGGCGTCGCTGCAACAATATCGTTCACATTGATCCAAAGTTGGAGCAGGATTGAGTCGTCAACTCTACTACCACGAAACCATATAATAAGCAGAAACAAGAAAACGCTCGACTTTTGATTATAATCGTGTTTATTTAGATTAGATCAATAAGTGATCCCTATTTTCTTTTAATAATTGGGGACTAAAGCGGTTAATTCGAATCCAGATTTCAAGTCCAATCAATGAATTTAAATACACATGTTAAAAATACCCCAATCAGCCCCTTGAAATTAATCTGCCTATTTGTGAGCATCAAATGTTTGAGAATTTCCCATCCAATCACGGTTACGTGTGAAGGAACATGGGTTCAAATGGCTAAATAAATCCCTGGAATCCGATTGGTTAATGGTACAAGTGTTATTCCTTCTTGGATCTGTCCACGAATGAGACGAAATTGGGCAAACTACGTGACATTTAGCCACTTGGGCTGCTACTGTAAACAGAGGGATAAATCTGATTGGTGCACATAAGAGGTTTAAACAATCCATGCAAATATTTTTTTCTCACGTGAAACCTAGAAACGTGATCTAGGCCAAATAAATATCCTTCTTGGGGTGTGTATACCTGACAGGTGGGAAGGTTTGTTTAAAAAAGCCTGTTGTACTGCTTGCAGTGATGCAAAACATTGTCAGTTTAGTTTGTTGATTCGAAAATGACGTCTAAATAATTTAAAAGGCAACCAAGATTGTTTAAACAGAGCATATGAGGCATTCTCGTACGTTTCTCAATTTGATGAATCTTGCATAAATTTCATAAATCGCAAATACAATTGGAGGAGGCTTAAACGCCGTCAACCAATCAAAATTGGATGACCTTGATTGATCATCTGGCTGATGAGATGTGAGTGGTCAGTGGAGGTGCAGGTTTGTACGCTCAGGCGAGTCCGCACGAGGGGTAACGAAGTGTCTGAGGAGGCGACGTTACGATTCACTATAAAGTCATTCGTGAAATTTGCGTGGATTTTTTGGGTGTCGACGCATCATTTTGGTTTAATGGACGTGAGGTAACATGTTACTTTCAAATTGTAAGTAGTACGCATCGAGCAGTCCATGGGACAAAACTGTTGAACAAATGGGGTCTTCTGTCATGCTATCAGTCACCCTCAGTTTGTGATACAGAGGCTTGGGAGAGGTTGCAAAAGTGTTTAATTATTTGGTTAAATCTCAAATCTCGAAAATTTTGTCAGATTGTGAAGTTCTCCAAAGTTCAAACACTTGGAGCTTTCCACGCAGCATTACTTAACACTAAATTTCAAATTGACCGCTCTCACGCTATTGGCTCGTTACCACTCTGTGTGATATTCTAGTTTGAGTTTGTCGAATTCATTCATCTGTTGAACTCGTCTCAAGAATAAGCTGTTGTTCACGAAGGGCTCTTAGCAAAATTGTCTGACAAAAAAAAATAACTTGGTTTGAAATAAAAAAAATCGATCGAATTCAAAAATGTCACGTAAGATTTTTAAATCATGCTGTTATTGATTTTTTGTGAGCACAACTCACTTCTCATTTGCAATGGTAAGTTAATAAAAAATGTGAGTAATATGCTTCTTACGAACAGGCATTTTTAATTCGTCAAAAGGCGTCTTTTATTGAAATACTGATTTATTAAAATTACCATATTAACAGTACTGGATTTGAGTCGGTCAGTATGCGAACACTCATAACAAGCGCGAACAAACATGATAATCTTGAATGCACTTCATGTTTTATGGTCAACTCTAATGGCCAATTGCGACGAATCTGCATCTCTCATCTGCATTCTATTGGCTAATAGCACGCCAACGTATACTATGCTCTGAGTAGTTTCATTGGTTGGTTATTTTAATGTTTTTTCATTCGAATATCGGTCGTCTGTACCTGTCTATGATCCAAAGGGCAGCCGAATCCCGAATCAGAACCTCTGCATTTTCTTGTTTTCCCAGTACAGTGACGAGGATAAGAATGATGATGGTGATAATGATGAGGGAATCCGATTGACAGCGGTGCACAGACACCTCATCGCCTGTGCCCAGTGCGTCCTTGGTGTGACCAATGAGGTGATCGAGGAGGCACTATTCAGCGTCCCTAACTACGAAGTCTGTTCGCGGTTCATTCAGGCTGAAAGTCCCGCTCACGGAGCCCTCGTGATTGGTGTTCAATCGCTCGGTCAAAATTGTAAGGCCTCGATCAATAATCGATCCATTATTATTGAGCTAATTGCAAAACTAGGCTAAGTCAAAATTCAGTAATTGGACATCCACGCATTCAACAATCAATGAACTAATAGAGGAATTTCCTGCACCAATGAGATTTGATCTAAATAACACACAGAGTGGTAAGGAGCCAATAGCACGAGAGCGGTCGATTTGAAAATGCAAAAGGGTGTGCATGTCCGAAGTGCTAACTTCGCTTTGGTGTTCCACACCATGTTATTTTAGACAGTGACCCGGGCATGGTGGCGCCGTTCCAGCTGAGGTTCACATCTGGTGCCAAAATTCCATTGGGTGTCGAAGGTGTCCTCTTTTTGGACCTCCGCACAGACGATGGGCCAATCACCGCCGAGAACGTAAAATCGGTACCAAATCACTTGTGGATTTGCTCAAGAGGGCGAAATTCTGGGCCGCCTAACACGCCTGTTTTCCACTTTCAGCGCGTTCTCATGACTCGAAGGCTGACGCCCCTAAATAGCGTGTACAATTGGCTGGTTGAGACGATGTCGCTGATTTTCCTGCCAGCTATCAAGGCCCAGGAAGGCGGTTTGGGGAAGATGGGGGGTCAGGCGAAGGAAATGCTCATTACAGCGCTCCACGACTATCTCGATTCCCTTGAGGGTAGGTTTTGAAAAGGAGATTATCACACTTAAGGCGAGCCCCTAACATTTGAATTAGCATAGTACTTATATGAAGCAAGTAGTTAGTCTTTTTTGAGAAAAAAAACTTGATGGACCAATGAATTTCAGAATTAAAACATTACGAGAAGTAAACAGAAAAGCCTAATTTTCAAGAAATCAATGTTAATCAGTTTGTCCATTGTTTTACTCAAACCGCAGCTGCTGCCATCTGCTCGAAGCAGAAGTTCAAGCTCACCGCCTGTCGCGACGTCGACTTGGAGGTGCTGCAGGACTCGCAGCGCGCCATCGATGCGGCTCACAACCTCAAGGACCTCGGCTGTCTGGAGGAGTGTGTTTGTCGTTGGATGCGGCAAATGTCTCTGGTAAGGTCCCTTTCGTCTACCACTACAGCCGGTGTCATTCGATTGAGTCAAAAGACAACCAATCGTCGCTCTGCAATGATGACGATCCTGCCTGTTTCGTAATGCTGCTTTCTAGGTGCTTACACATCCAATTTTAAGCAAACTGGATCGTATTTCAAGTGGTTTGTAACCAAGAAGCAAGTAGTGGTATCTGGTTGCTGATGGGCTGGTAATTAGTAGTATCGCTGTTTCAGGAAATCCAGGAGGTGGACACGGCCAGACAGGAGCTGCCCAACAGTGGTCCGCAGTCGGAGATGCGCTTTTGGAACCAACGCGCCACGCGCTTTGACTTAATAAAACAAGAGATAGCCAAACCATTGGTGAAGAACACTATAATGGCGCTGGGCGTGGCCAAGTCCAAAACTCTGACGGTAAGGCTCTGACGTACCATTACATGTGGCGTGGGCTACCTTGAGCGCAATTCTAAACGAACACATAAAGTTGAGTTAGCCAATAGGAAGATGGCGGCTTCTTGAAACTAACAAATGGTGTGCATTAACATGATCCATAATGAGAAAGTAGAGAATCGTCGAAATCTCAACTGGTGTAGTCTTGCGAATACTGAAACCTCTGCAGTTTATCGAGGTCTGCGTGAGTTGTCTGTGGATAACCACTGTGTCACGTGACCTCCTCAAAAGCGGTCAGGGTTGACCCGCAAATAACCGTCTGTGTTTGAAGTTACACGCTCACGTGCCTTCAAGAATTTAGGTAACATTTTAATGACGAACTCCATCGGTGACAGCCAAGTCTCATTCTCCAGACCTCGTGTAGGTGAGTCTGAAGGTGCAGACACAACGAGTCATTGAAGTGATTGCTGTACTGTTGCTTAATACCAAATCATGCCACGCTTATTTGGGTTGTGAGGGGATATCGATTGAACTGTGAATTCCACCAATCAAAACGGGTTTTAATTACTGCGTTGTAGACTTGGCAGGATCTCGAAAACCGTGTCATCACCATCCACAACGAGGCACGAATGAACGCCAAGTTCCTCCACGTGGTCATACGACAGTGCCATCCGCTCTACGAAAATCAAATCGTGAGTCCTTGGACCCGTTCGAGGTTGTCGTGTTGTCGTCAGCTGACGTGGCCCTCATAGAGGAAATTCTTCTTGCGTTTAGAATGTCATGAGAAAGCAGATGGGTCGGCTGATGCATTGTTTGCAATGCCTCTACAGCTACTCACCGCATTACCGATCGTTCGCTCACATGTCAATTCTGTTCGTGAAGGTAAGACTACTGGTTGTCTCCAAGACCACCTGTTGGCTAAACCAGTTTTCACGACTCGCTGCGTCACATCACAGCGCTCTGTGGACACTACTGACTTAGGTGAGTAGTAAGTTGTTTCGCCCGATTCCACCTAGATAACAAATCAAATGATACAGAGCTGTCGTGGCTACGTTGAGGACTGCGGTCGGAGTCCAATATGGAGTCAGGATCCACGCCAACTTGTCCAACGTCTCAAGGATTGCATTGAGCTAAGCGAGGCGTACCAGAAATCTTACCACGAGTTTCAGAAGGCCACTCGTGACGACCAGAAGCTTATGAAGTTCTCCGAAGTTCAAATATTCGGTGACTTCCACGAGTTCGTTGCGCGCATCGAGGCGATCCTCCACATCCACACCACTCTCGAGCGCTTCGGAGTGCTGAGAAACGTCTTCGTGGAAGGCGGGCACAAGCTGAGGCGGCACTACGAGCGAATCCACAACTTCATTACCACCAGGGACTACGACTACCTCGATCCGGAGAATAGGCAATTCGTAAAGGACTTTGAGTTCTTCGGTGCCGAGATCAACGTTCTGCATGACAACCTTCAGGAGGCCTACGACGTGCAGTGCAGCTGTAGCGGAACAGTTCTGTTGAATCTGAAGCAGCTCATGCGGCTGGAACAGGCTCAGGTGCCTGTAGCGAGACAGGACGAGCGGTATCGCCGGTTGCTCGTCCAACTCAGGACGGAGCTCGAAGAGGTTGGTCGTATCTTCAACCAGGACGCCAAGGATCCTCAGATCGAGCGCAATTCACCTCCGTTTGCCGGTAAGCTGACGCCTTGACAAGCGATTCCACGAAGTTTGGAACTCACTGTAGTACGAATGACCCTTACTAGAGGTGAACGCACGAGGGGGAACACGTATAATTTGTTGCCATGGCAATAATATCGATAAGACCCTATGGAGGGAGAGAGCCAATCGGCGTCCTGATCAAAAGACCCAATTGCGCAATTGGCCAATAGGGTCGAGCGCGGTTGAAATGAATGTGTGAAATGGTGTGCATTAAGCGTCCATTTCTATGCAACTTTTTAATGCGTGAGCGATTGGCGATTACGCTGGGACACTACCTGCAAAGACTCTAGAATGACTCGTGAACCACGTTGAGATCAACGCACTTCTGACACATTTCCACATGACCGATTCCTGTTTACGCTTGTCGTTCGTGGATGCTTGTTGGACATGCAAGATGGAGGCCGTCAGCCAATGGAGATTGGATGAACTAGCGCGTGCTCAGACACCTGAAGGATGAGATGTGTGTGGTCAAGGTGACAGAGGGGGGTGCATGTGCAGACGCATCCGCGTGGGGGGAAGCGAGGTGTCTGAACACGCGGCGACTGAGTTGGTAGTCTTAAATCACCACGGGCTAATTGGTTAAAAAAATTGCTCCCGGAAAAACTAACTAATCAATAATCGAACCGACTACTGATATAACCAACTGTTTGTTGAATCGTGCGAGGTTTAAGGCGACCTGGAACTTCCAATGTACCTAACGGTAGCCAATGAAAGTTAAAGGTCGCTGAATTAAATTGGCCGCGACCCGCTAATTGGTCAAATACTCAGAACCCAGGACGTTCCCTACTAAACTGTGGCACAAGTTGACTTCATACCAGTTAAGCGAATCGCCTGTTGGCGTTGGTTTTCGATTTGCAGGTCGCATCGCGTGGGCTCGAAACCACTACCTGCGAATGGCCGAGCCAATGTCGATATTTTGGACACAGTCGAGGGCGATTTGTGAGTCGAACGAGGGTCAAGCGACGGTCCGACAGTTCAATCGCCTCTGCGAAGCTCTTGTCGGCTACGAGATCACCGTCTTCCGAGCCTGGAAGGAGTCGGTAAATTTCAGGGAGCCCTTTTTCCACTTCTCAGTCACAGTTAAGACAAAATGGAGCTTTCCACAGTGTCAGTGTTATCTTAAAACATATGTAAATTTAGCGAATTGCCAGTGCCGTTTAAGACAACTCAAGAATCATGATTCCAATTTCCGCTGCAAGCCACAATCATCAAGAGGTTGTCCAGAGCCAAGGAATTTAGAATTGACTTCGAAGACGAAGGTAGGCTGAGGTCAGTGCAGGAGTGTTCAGAACAGGTGTAGTTGGGTCTTGAGCGGAGACACACCTTCGCAGTGCACTTTTGTCCAAGTTGAAATGGATCCAGATGTAACCCAGGAAGGAAATATGTCCAGAGATAGCGCAGACACGATCGTTTACCAGTCAGATCAACCAAGTTGTGTCGTGTACTTTTACAGTTGAGTGGGCATGCAAGAATAAACATAGGCGTCTGTGAGGTCACATGACTAAAACGGGTGGTGGTGGGACATGCACAGTGGTTAATGGACCAGCGGCCTCACGTGGCTGACGGGCCGTGTGTTGGAGGCGGAGACGAGGGGGTTATTGGGCGTGAATCAACACGATTCACTTCATTGTCCCTGATGGTGAGTATTTCAATCACGTGAGGGATCTACACACTGAAATCTGCGGGTCTCGCTCTCACAACAACCAGAAGCTGGTCCTCGCTCTATGCAACTGTTCTGGTGCGTAGTCTGGTGGAATTTCATTTCGGGGATCCCACTGAAGACACAAGTGTCACGGCAGCACTCGCTAACCTCTTCGCATCCAGGTTGATTTCATTTTACAAGAAGAAGAAGAAAGTTTGCAAGCGAAATAAAGTGCGTGTAGATGCTTTTTTTAAATCAGAATTCTTCAGGACCATCTGAGTACACGATACACACACCTCCCATATCTACTCGTAAAATGCAAGTACTATGCTAAAAAGTCGGCGCGATGTTAACAGGATTCTTGGTTTTCAGATTCTGGAGAGACTGTCTGGTGTCCACGCGTCGGTTCTGATTGCGATTCAACACCAAAACCAAATCGTTTATGTGCCAAACTTCGACGAGAGTGTGCGCACTCTGCTGCGAGAAATTGTCTGCCTCGATCGTCTCGGCTGTCCCATTCCCAGCCTCGGCGCGGAGATGCACCGGCGAGCCGTGTTTCTGAAGAAAAGGGTGTCCAAAGTGCAGGTGGGTGTGCGTTCACGCCCTACGGATCCAGACGAGATTCGCTGCTTTGCCCACTGTCCCGGGCCGTTGATTGGCTCCCAAACAGCCAATCCGCTCTGTCGTGGCAAGGCGCAGCTCAGAGTAACCAAGACATAAATGAGACGGGGAAAGGATAGACTCACTCGTCTGCTAGTTACCCCTAAGCGAAGGAGGCTGTCGATCACCACGGCTAATACTGTTTTAATTGCTACAACAAATTTGCGAGATACGACTGATAGTCACACCACTACCGTTTCGATTGGTTTTCACGATACCATAACAAAATGAACAGTTTGTAGCTGGCTAATTATCCTTTACTTGTAGGACTTAATCCGGCTTCTGAACGACACGTTTCAAATGATTCCAGACGGCATAGACAAACTCCTGGTAGTGCGTGTCCATCGGATCAACGAGGCCTTGGCACCGGGTCTCTACATTCACGACTGGTACAGCTCATTGTTTGATGGTTGGATAAAGGTGAGCAAGTTGTTGTTTTTGTCCTATGATTGGTTGTTTAGAATAGACCGCGTGGAGAGCAAGAGCCAATCAAATAAATCGCACAATCAAGTGAAGTGGTGAGCACGCCTGGTAGGAATTTGCGGGTTAGGCAAATTTGAATTGACCTCACATACTGTCTAACGTGCTCACGGCCAGGCTCATACTTTGGGAATCTGCTCTGATCTCTGAGGTTCAAAATCATGAAATATCCTACTCTGTTGATGAATGCACGTGCATCAGACCAGGTGCTGTTATTTTAGCAATGTGAACAGGTGATTGGGGGCCTACAGAGAATGCTGGAAAAGGCCCACGACATACTCCACTGTCGAATTGAGCCGACCCTAGAGGCGATGTCGCAGTGCAGGTTCGTTGTTTTCCCGGAGCAGCCGAAGACTCGCCTCTACGAGCTACCGGGACGCGCAAACGTCCAGTTGTCCGCTACACTCAGTGACGCCGCGATCTACTTGCAGAGCCGACGCGAACCGGGCACGGGTTGGAGCCTTGCTGATTTCATCCACCTGTCTGTGGAACAGGCCAATCGCACTGCCACCAACCTGCAGCAGCTCTCGCAAATGGTGCTTGATGCCACCGAGGAGTATTTGGACACGCTGTTGGTGGATTTCGATGATTTTGTGACCAACTTTGTGGAAAACTACACCAGGGACACAGGAGATGGCGGATCTAGTGCACCAGCTAGCAAGCCCAAGCGCATCTCTGACTCATTCTGTGAGTTCTCTGTTCGCTTCGATTGGCTAGTCAGTAGGATAACTAAGGTTTCAAATCAGTCCTGTGATTGGTCGCTAAGTGACCTTCGAATGCAATTGGCTGACGCGTTATGTATTTATGCTGGGACAGCGTCCCTGTAACCAGGTGTCTGAGGGCATTATCTGTGTGGCGGATTTTGCATCCAATAGATTCCTTTGACGGCCGCATTACCTCAATTCCCAATGCCGACATTAACGAAGACGAGGAGGGACCAAGAGAGAGGGCGCAAGCGAAGAGAATAGTTGTCAAAACAGTGTCAGCGATCAACGACCTGGTGCGTTCATTCGGCCAGCGAGCATTGGAGGCGACGATAAAGTCAGTTCGCAATTCCTTGGACGAATTATGGCGCGTGTTTGGCGGCAAAGACGGCAGTGGCCTCCTGAAGGATGTAACGGTTGGCACAAAATTGAAAGCAGGTTTGAGCCGTTGCAATGTCACAGTTGCGCATTACTTTGGGGCTTTAAGTAATCCTGATTGGCTGGATTTTGACTGCATTTAGAGCATATTAAGCCGACAGCCACGGTTAGATGCGAAGTCGTGTTCCAAGGCGACAGCTTCAATCTGAGACCCTCCCTGGACGAGATACAGGCCGGTCTAAAGACCATCATCAAGTCCGTAATCACCTCCACGAAGGGCATCGGCAAATGGACGGAGAGCGGCCGACAGAACAATCCCGCGACGGCCTTGATTGACGTACGTAATTATAGTCACGCATACATTTAATCTTAGAATTTTATTCCACTGTTTGGTGGACGGAGGGCCGCTTAATCGAATGCTGCCATCGAAACCTGTCAATTATTTCAAGTTATTACTTTTTAAAATTCAGTAACCTTTTTCGACTCTAAGAACGCGAGTCAAGACGCCCACAGGGAACTGGTAGGTAAAATCCCCCCTAACGTGATTTTGGGGACATCTAAAACAAAAGACCATTTTGTGGTGCCCCAGCCATCGCCGTGGCTGTACTTTTTAAAGGAGTTGGGAGTCATTAAAATATTCACATTTTTCTCAATTGCAAACTAGAAAAAATCGAAGAGGGGCACGGGGAGTGGTCCCATTAACTCAGTTAGCGACCTCACGAACCTAACGGACTTGGCTACCTTCCGTACGCGCGCGTCCTTGGACTCCATCCGAAGCAGCTTCCATCAACAGTCACTTACTAACGGTGAGAGGCAGATTTCTGTAAGTTGCGGTCATAGTCTCACGACGGTTGCATTTCGCGCAAAGCCGCATGTTTAATCCAATCTTCGTTTTCATTGTAGACGCTCCAACACAGCCGATACTCAGGTGAGGAGGTCTAAGCGAAGCACAGAACGGAAGTCAGTGTGATGTGATTGGTTAAAAAGGTGCACTTGTTACTTTAGTGCCGAGGTCAAGCGTGCAAGCTGGCAGTTCGGCGCCAACGTACGAAGTGGAAGTTAACTGCTACGGCGACGTACGTCACGACCGAGAGGTGTTCAAGGCGCAGGCTCTGCTCATAACTTGGATGACCTCGATGAACAAGATCAATTTTCTGCCCGATGGTAAGGTCAATATGTCCACTATCACCAGATTAGAATCCATCTCAAGGTTTGGCGTAGGTCTTTGTTCGGTTTTCACGTCCTTCATTGGTCAATTTCTAGGTGAGATTGTTGAACTACCAGATGTCATATCCCCCTTCGTGGAGTTCACTCACTTGTGGAAGACCTCACCACAGGAGCGACTGCAGGAGTTTCTGCGTCAGCACACCACACCCAACCTCCTCGACATCGAAGAGGTCTGCTCGAGTCTGTACGAGGTGGAGCGCAAGCTGGAAGCCCTCTTCGACATTTACTACATCGGGCCGCTGGAGGTGCACACGAGCAGCTTCAAGTACCTCGCTCTGCGACGACTCAGGCAGCACCAGCAGGTCTTCGTGGAACTCTCCACCGAGAGATTCATCTACCCGGTGTTTGTGGCGATGGCGCAGATTGAGGAGACCGAACGGCTCATCTCCAAGCCCCCTGCCAGTCTCTCCGATGTCTCCACAGTGATGGGGGCGATCTCGAACTTCCGCGAAATCGAGGTGACTGTGGACATGAAGATAATCGCAGCTGAGGTAACGCAATAAGAATGTTTGCAGACTTAAATAAGACGCTCTGCGCTTCTGTTTCAAGTCCTAGTTGCATCAGTGGTTTGCTTCACAGAAGCCTGTTTTCTACAGGAGGCGCAAGCCGTGCTGAGCAAGTATCAACTGCACCTTCCACCCGAGGTTACTGATCGCATAGAGGCGGCTCGCTGGACCTACGCCAGAGTGGTCGAGCACATCGCCAAGACCATGGACGAGGTGCTGGACGTGCAGACCAAGCACCGTGAGGCGCTTCGAGAGGAGACAGCCAGGATGCAGGCAGACATCGAGTCCTTTGTGCATTTCTTCCTAACGGTGAGCAGGTTGACGGTTGCCTAAGCTAAACCAGTCGCGACACGCGATCCGATTGGTTTGAGTGTGTCTGTGCGCGGGAGCTATAAAAGCCTCGAATTCTTCCACCCCAGAAAGGTCCAGGCGAAGAGGGAATCTCGCAGACAGAGGCCATCGACCGTCAGATGCTCTTCCGCAACACCTACGAGCAGCTGGTGAGGAAGGCGGACAACTTGCAGAAGGGACAACAACTATTCGGGCTGCCTTTGATGAATTTAACCAACCTCAAGGCGGTGGGAAAACAGATGGAAATGCTCCAGCGCCTCTACACACTCTACAGGGACGTCTGCAAGGTGGTAAATGGCTTCAAGGAGACACCCTGGAAGGAAACTAACTGCGAAGAAATTGAATACCAACTCCTGGCTCTCCAGACGAGGTAAGTCTGTCAGGTTAATGCAGCTGTCTGACCACTGTGTCCATCATTTTATTCGGACAAAATTAGACGCTTATTATGCGACATATTTTCCACAGTCTCACCAATTTACTGATCTCCATTTGAGATACGAATTCATATATAAAAAGGCGAACAACGAACTTAATCTTGGAAATATAGTCCATCGTTTCCAATGACCTTGAGCCATCTCTCAGGTAACGTGCGAATGCCGTCGGGAAAGGAACTTGCAGGCTTCGAGGCAACAAATTCATCGGCGTTGTCAGGTGTTTTGGACTACTTATTCACATTGATCTCTGGAAGATCAAGAAGACGGGAGATTGTGGCGCCACAGTCGTTGTATCTGATGTCTAATCCAGGTTGAATTGTCGGGTGCGTGTACGCGGGACTTTGAAAATGGAGGCAGCATATCGGAGAGTGCGTTAACCGGGTTGATAGTCAGAAGGTTGCGTGTTCAGATCACGTCGGGGTCACCAAATATAGTGGGTAGAGACTTAGCAATACCCTACAACCCTCTAGTTAACAGGCCGTAATTACCCGAGGAAAGGGGGAAAATCGGCGACAGAGAACACTACCGTTTATTCGCGTCAAACCAGCCAAGTGGCTGTGTGCGAATGAGTACGCGTGCGTAACGGGCGAAAGCTGACAGAGGCCAATAACAAAAGGGGTGAGTCATTGGTCCACTCGGGCCCTCATGCGCGCATCACTCACGCGAGGTGGCTGTCTGTCCACTGCAGTGGACACGAATCTACGCGATTCGCCACATCTCCTTGCCCTTTTTTTAAATGTCACATCAAGTGTTTCGCTTGAATGCAAGGAAGAAATGCGGAGGAGGCAAATCAGCAGCACTTGTCGAACAACATGTGGAGTCCATGTTCTCCCATCCGGAGAACCTTGTCTACTGGCACCGGTTAGAAGCGATTTATCTCCTGTCGCGCACATTCGGTGTCAGTATGTTCACAAAAAGAATCGACAAAGAACGGTCTTAGTCGACCACCTCCACAGAAAGCGTCATTGAGGTGTGTGGAACAACGACGGAAAGCGAAATCGCACGTGGCGTCAATTTGGAATCCCAAGGAATGTCTTTTAATGAGATAAGAAATGCTTTTAGGAGGGATTTATGAAAACACTTGAGCACAATAACCAATTAGCTATGAGAGCACACACTAACTTCACGCCATTGTTGGCAGGTGTCGAAAACTGCCGGGTGCACTCAGAACGTGGTCACTCTACTTCGAGCTAGAGGCCACCCTGTCGACGCTGGTGGGTAAGATGCCGATTCTGCAGATGCTGCGCAGCTCCGCGATGAAATCGCGACACTGGGTTGCCATCAGCAAGATCACGGGCCGAGCCAACATCGACCCCGAGCACAACGACCTCACCACGCAGGCTGTCATCGATTTGCCCATAGGTCCCAACGACGGGGCCATGAAGGAGGCGGTGGAGGAGGTGTGCGTTGGAGCCGCGAGGGAGAAAGAGATCGAGACGAAGCTGCTGCGCGTCGCCAATGACTGGTCTGGTCAGGAGCTGATTCTGACTAGTTTCAAGAATCGTGGTGAACTACTGCTCAAGGGTGATAGGATTGTGGAGGTTCAGGGACTCCTCGAGGACTCACTCATGACCCTCACGTCGCTGTCCAATAACAGGTAGGCAAACCCGTTGATTGGTGCACCTGTAGCCTTGAGGGAGGCCTATAGTAAGTCAGCTAACTGAATTTACCACTTGTAGCGGGCCCCAGTGCGGTTTTGGAAACCACACAAGGGCTGACGATATACGCTGACAAGGCCCGACCGGAAGAAAAATAAAAAATGGAGGTGGCGCGTATCCCGACTTATTGATTGGTGCAGCAGTAGTGTGTGTTAGCACAGGATAAAAGTGCGTTTATATAGCTTCGCTGAGTATCGATCTTTGAACGCACGCAGCTGCGTAAAGTGCATTTACGAAAATCGATTAAATCGTGTTCGCTCACGACTGCAAGCCGTGCTCGCCTGCTGCTCGCCATACACCATTCTCAAACTCAGCTATTTCATCCTGACCTTAACCGAATTCTGAGCCAAAGATCACGCGCTATGTAGGACTCTGTGTTGGTACCTTCGCAGATTTAACAGACACTTCAAGGAGCTGATAGCAACGTGGGTGAGCAATTTGACCACGGTCAGCGAGGTGTTGGACGTCTGGATGAAGGTCCAGTCTCTCTGGGTGTACCTCGAGGCCGTTTTCGTCGGCGGTGACATCGCAAAACAGCTGCCAGTCGAGGCTCGACGCTTCCAGGCAGTGGACCGCTCGTGGGTGAAGGTGATGGATCGGGCTAGGGAAACGCCCACGGTGGTTGCCTGCTGCACCATGGACTCCTCCCTGCTCGACATCCTCCCGAAAATGCTCGAGCAGTTGGAGGTGTGCCAGCGTTCACTCTCGGGCTACCTAGAGAGCAAGCGTCTGCTGTTTCCGCGATTCTTCTTCGTCTCCGACCCTGTGCTCCTGGAGATTCTTGGCCAGGCGTCTTCGCCGGAGGCCATTCAGGTCCACCTCCTGGCGATTTTTGACAGCATTCACCATCTGTACTTCACCGGTGATACTTCACGGATCCTAGCTGTCTATTCTGCTATTAACGAGGAGCTTATAGTGAGTTGCGGTTACAGAATTCTGTTACTTACACACAAAAACGTGCAACCATTTTGAGCAATGCATGCTCACAGGACAAGCAGAAATCAGGCACACCATTTACGCAAGAGTTCTATCAAAAGTGGTGACGCGTTGGGTTAGTGGGAAAATATTTTAATTAAATTAAAGGGGAAATAACACCCCAAGGCTTCGGGATTGGCGGTAGTAAGCGAATTTGCGGAAAATGCAGACCCCAGTTTTTACGCTTGAACCACAAATAGCTAGATGATTTAGGTTAGATATGAAGTATGCTTGTAGAACGCATAATTTTCTGTCCGGTTTTCACAAATGTGCACAAGAGAGATAGCAACGATTAGAGGCCATCAACCAGTCAAAATTGGATGACCTTGATTGATCATCTGGATGATGAGATGTGAGTGGTCAGGGGAGGTGCAGGTTTGTACCCTCACGCGAGTCCGCACGAGGGATAACGAGGTGTCTGAGGAGGCGATGTTACGATTTCCTACAAACTCATTCGTGAAATTTGTGTGGGTTGTTTGGGTGTCGACGCGTCAGTGATGGAAGTTGGGACGATGATTCCTGACGCGTTTGCAGGCGACCAATTGATTGGGTGATTGTAGAAGCGTGTGTCCACTTCTCATTCCGACAGTTGTTTATATACATCGTGAATCAACTCAACCTTAAAGTGGAAGTTCAGTTAAATTAATTTATGCGCAGGGTTAATGGTTAAAATGGAACTGCAACAGCTATTGCTCCAGACGTTAAGTTGGATCGTTTTCATGAACCTAGGACAGTGGAGTTGATATATATAAACAACTGTCGGAATGAGAAGCGAACACACGCTTCCAACCACGTCGGGATCGCTGTGTTCAGTGGGCACATTTATGCTAGACAGATACTAGCGGCGATCAGAATAAATAACAAAGATAGTCATTTGCCAGACAGTTCCACAGTCGCGTAACTGTGCGTAAAAACGTGTCTGGCTAAATGTAGGGTTGTTGGTCAACGCGGTCTGGGTGAAATGGAGGTCAGTAAGGGTAAAAGGACGATCCACAACAACCTCAAATGTTTTTCGCATGCGCTGGATTCCCCAAACCAAACACGGTAGTTGTAAATGGCGTGCTGTTGCTTGACCGTTCTGGCATGAGTGAATGATAATCATTGGTGTACTTTTATTTTGCCTTCCACGTAGTTGAGTCCGGCCCTGAAATGCGAGGGTCCCGTGGAGACGTGGCTGACGGCGCTGCACATAACCGTCAAGTACTCCCTCCTCGATCGAATTCGTCAGGCGCACCTCCAACTAATGGACCCCGAAGTGGACCTGCTGAAGTTCTTCGACGAGCAGACATGCCAGCTGGCCATCCTGGGTATTCAACTGATATGGACCCGCGACGCTACCAACGCCCTCATTGACTCGCGGGACCTTCCACGGCGAATGAAGGAGACCAGTAAACACTTTGCCAGCCTCCTCGACATGCTCATTGGCAAGACTACGATGGACTTGAAGCCGGAAGAACGCACCAAATACGAGACCCTCATCACGATCCACCTTCATCAGAAGGACATCTTCGAAGGCATCGTAGGTCACCGCTAAATTGGCCAACTAGGCGCATTTGCTGTTCCAACTAACTCTCTCAAAATTGATAGGTTATGAAATGGTTTCAAGACACTACGTTGATTGGTTTATGCATATGTCTATTGGTTGTCGTATCCTTTAGCTTTTACAAATGCACATGAGATGCCTACGTGGTCATCTTTTGAGAGCCGTCTTTATTCAAACTACCCACAATTCACTGAAGTGGAGTAAAGCCAGAATGCTCACATTTACGTGGCCCCGATGTTGTTTAAGGTCGCACAAGGTATCAGATCGACGGACGACTTTGAGTGGCTCAAGCAGACGCGTGCGTACTTCCTCGAAGAGATGAATATGTGCGTTCTATCCATAACCAATGTGGACTTTGAATACCAGAACGAATTCCTTGGATGTACTGAGCGTCTGGTGATCACTCCGTTGACAGATCGGTGCTACATCACCTTGGCGCAGGCGCTTAACATGAGCTACGGCGGGGCGCCAGCAGGACCTGCGGGAACAGGCAAAACGGAGACGGTTAAGGTACGTGTCATCGGCCAATATTATGTACTTGCTACTAACCATTAATGAGTCGGTGTTATCTAATGCATCTTGCAGGTGATTATTGATCCTGCCGTTTTGTAGGACATGGGACGGTGTCTAGGGCAGTACGTAGTCGTCTTTAATTGCTCCGACCAAATGGACTTCCGTGGTCTGGGCCGGATATTCAAGGGTCTCGGGCAGTCCGGCGCATGGGGATGCTTCGACGAATTCAATCGAATCGAGCTGCCAGTGCTGTCTGTGGCCGCCCAGCAAATCGCCATTGTGATGTTCGCCAAGCGCGACAACAAGGACCACTTCGTGTTCTCCGATGGCGATGTGGTCTCACTGAATCCCGAATTCGGCATCTTCATAACCATGGTTAGGGGCTTCTAAGTGGTTCTCCTTAGTAGTTGCCTCGAATGCCACGGGAATTGGTGTCATTTTGTGTGCACCTTAGAATCCCGACTACGCCGGTCGCCAACAACTGCCGGAGAACCTGAAGGCGAACTTCCGACCTGTCGCCATGATGGTGCCCGATCGACAGATAATCATTCGGGTGAAAATGGCCTCGTGCGGCTTCATCGACAACATGTCGCTGTCGAAAAAGTTCTTCTGTCTCTACAACCTCTGTGAGGAGCAACTCAGTAAACAGGTGAGGTGGCGGCGGCTAATTTTGCTACCAGCGTCTTGCGAGGCAGTCGGACAGATGTCTAGACGACAAGGTTGTCAGAAGTATTGAAATCTCTCCCAGGTTTGATTTTGTGCACCAAGGTTCATTATGACTTCGGCCTGCGAAACATCCTCTCGGTTCTGCGGACCTTCGGAGCAGTTCGTCGCAGCAGTCCAGACGAACCGGAGGGCAGGATTGTGATGCGCGTGCTCAGGGACATGAATCTGTCGAAGCTGGTGGATCAGGACGAGCCGCTCTTCCTGTCCATCCTGAAGGACCTCTTCCCGGGCGTCATCCTCGGCGGGCGCAACGCCAAGAACTCCGAGATCGTCGAAGCTCTGAAACAGAACGCCGAGGGCATGGGCCTGATCGCCCATAAACCCTGGATGGTGAAGGTGCTTCAGGTGAGTGAATGCCATCTAAGAGCCCTACAACAACCCACTTCAGGGAATACATGATGTTTGGCTTCCAGACATGTTCATACCAGGGCCACGTTTTCGGTTTCAGCCCGATTACGCCACCCTGATGACCGCATAGATGACCTAGACTGGTATGGGCTAGGCAACCACGTTGGTGTCGTTGTGTCAAGTGTGGGGTTTGCGCGTGTGTATCTATACCTCGGATGTGTGAGTCATACATGCGCTAACATCGAGACCTAGGTGTGAGGATAATCCAAGATAAATATTTGTGCAAATGAGGGGGATGTTGTGGATCCGCGCGGCTGGCGACATGCTACGAAAAGGGGAACCCTGTGTCGGAGGTGGAGCGAACGTATTAAGGGGTGTGAATAAACACGATTTACAACAACGGCAAAAGCGAATCGAAAATGAGGGAACGTTATTTCGAAATAATGTCAGGAACCCGTGTTTATAGACAATTGGGTTAGGTTTATGGTCCACAATCAGTTTAAAAACCACGCTCAACTTACTCTAGCAAACAGCAGATGTAGCAGTGATTTACGGACATTTTTCATGGCTTGATAGCTCTACGAGACACAAAAAGTGCGGCACGGCCTGATCCTCCTGGGACCGTCTGGTTCGGGGAAATCAAAGTGTGTCGAGCTGCTGCTCAAGACGCTGACGGAGATCCACCAGGCACGACGCGAGGTTCGCATGAATCCCAAGGCCATCACCGCCGCCCAGATGTTCGGGCGTCTAGACGTCGCCACCAACGACTGGACAGACGGTATCTTCTCGACGATCTGGCGGCGCACCACGAAGATGCGCCGAGACGAGCACTACTGGCTCATTCTCGACGGACCCATCGACGCCATCTGGATTGAGAACCTCAACTCCGTCCTGGACGACAACAAGACGCTCACTCTGGCCAACGGCGACCGCATTCCCATGGCGCCAAGGTGCAAGATCCTCTTCGAGGTCGACAGCGTGGAGAACGCCTCGCCAGCCACCATTTCAAGGAACGGCATCGTCTTCATGAGCTCCACAGCCATCAACTGGGAACCCCTGTTTAAGGTAGGGCTGATTCCTTCCTAAAGTCGCTGTAACGTCGGCTTGATTCTTGTGAATAGCCGGCGGTGTGTGGATCTTCCAGTGCATTACTTCGGCCTGATGGGCCAGTTGTAGACAGCACTGTTGGCATTATCGATGTGGATATTTTTCAGACGTGGGTCCAGACGCGTCAGAAGCTGGAGCGCACGAGGCTGACCGAGCTGGCAAACACCGTCTTCCCGAGCGTCATCAGATTCGTCACCCAGGAGGCTCGCGTCAAGATGAAGTTCCTTGAGGCCTTCTACGTGGCGCAGTTCTGCGACTGCTACAGCGCCTTCTCACTGCCGGAGACGGACGAGGCGGCGTTGCACGAGATGCAATTCTTGCTGGCCCTCGCGTGGTCGTTCGGCGCTCTGCTAGAGCGCGACGAGAGGGTGAAGTTTGACGAGTACCTGAGGAATGCCAGAGTCTTCGGCCAACTCATGATGCCGCCACCGACCATCAGGGGCAAACAGGTGACTCTCTTTGACTACAGAATTGACTACGATTTCGGTGAGTGGTCCTGGCAGTGCACTGGCAGCACAATCGCGCAGATTAAGCTCATATATACATTTATCCCCCCCCCCCAAAAATGCGTGAATAGATCGATGGGAGCACTGGGGCATGGTGGTGCCGTTCTACGACTATCCACGCCGGGGCTTCGTGGACTTCGAGCGTGTCCTCGTGCCGAACCAGGACAACGTGGTCACCGAGTTCCTGGTGACGAGGGTTTCCAAGACGGGACGCTCGTTCCTGCTGTTTGGTGAGCCGGGGACAGCGAAGACTGCCATCATCAACAAGTACATGCAGTCCTTCAGCAAGGAGACCGATATTGCAAGGAATTGCAACTTCTCGTCTGCCACAACTCCATTCACGTTTCAGGTAAGGAAGAACGTTTCAGAAGCCACGTTGTCCTTGTTCTCTTATTGGTCCACTGTTGTCGTGCTTGACCTTGGACCATGCAAGTGATTGGCTGGTTTGTTAGCCTAGTCATCAACCGATTACAGGCCTGTCAATTAACGAAACTATTTTAGTCCTCGGTAGAAGGCTTCGTCGATAAACGCGTCGGGTTCACATACGGTCCACCGTTGGGCAAGAAGTTGACCATCTTCATCGACGACATCAGTTTGCCAGTTGTAAACGAGTGGGGTGACCAGGTGACCAATGAAATCGTCCGTCAAACGATGGAGTGTGGAGGGTTCTACAGCCTCGAAAAACCCGGTGAATTTATCACGATTGTGGATGTCAAGGTAGGTGACACAACTATCTCCTTGCAAGTGCCCGTTACAAGTTCTCAATCTCGAGATTATTGAGGTGGTTCCGAAAGTCTCTTTTGATTGGTTGATTTCCAATGGCGAGTTACACCATTGGACGATTTAGTGAGCGATATTTTCCTAACTCAACGATCCTATCCGAGGCTATCAACCAGACACACATGTCTCCTTTTCTAAGTCGCTAAAATCTTTATCAAATAATTTTCAACAGACGATGACACATTGACAATTTATACGTGTGACTTTTAGGGGAAGTTGATATTTGTAGGGAGTATACCTACTTAATCGTAATCAGTAGGCAATTTAATAGGACAGCTTCTGCTGTTGCAAAGATTATGTTCGATTATTTTTTTAAGTTTGCGGCTGCAATGGTAACGCCTGGTGGAGGCCGCAACGACATCCCAATGCGCCTGAAGCGGCAGTTCTGCGTGTTCAACTGTAGTCTACCTAGTGACGCTTCCATTGACACCATCTTCGCGACGATAGCTTGCGGCCACTTCTCGAGTGAGCGTGGTTTTGCCAAGGATGTGCAGGACGTGGTCATCAAACTGGTCCCACTCACGCGCCGTATATGGGCCTCTGTCAAGGCTAAAATGCTTCCCACGCCGATGAAGTTCCACTATGTCTTTAATCTGCGTGATCTGAGTTGCATATGGCGCGGCATTACCTTCGCCTCAAGTGAAGTAAGATTTGCTATAGCAAAAAACTTTGACTACTGAAATGTCATCAGTAGCATTTGTGTAGCCATTAAAAAAGCGATCGGTAACGACGATCACCAGTCACCATATGCCTTGCTTGCCACGCTGACAGGTGTTCAAAACTCGTGAACTTTTGATTCTCCTGTGGAAAAACGAGGTCACCCGCGTGCTCTCGGACAAAATGACCAACGCCAAGGACAAGGCCTGGTTCGTGCAACGACTGGAGCTGCAAGCTGTCGATTTCTTCGGACACAGCATCAGCCCCCTGCTACAGGAGGAGGTTTTGTTCTGCGATTTCATGACGTAGGTTCTTCCCTTGTTAAATCCTCTCTGCTGATACCGCAACTCTGATTGGTTAATTACCAGAACATTGTGCTAGAATACTTACCGGCACACTTAAAATTAGCCTAAACATCGCGGCGTTACAGGGAATTTTCTATGGAAATGGGTAAATTTTGGATGTTTATCATTAGGGCTCTGAGCAGTAAAGTCTGGTCTGGCAAATTCCAAGATCCACTGATAGTCTTATTGTTGTCTGTTAAATCGAATGAACCCAGACAGCATCAGACAGACAAGAGGTCGCAATACCGGCTTCGTACTTCAAGGCTTGCAGAGGATCTGTGACGTTGTTCTAAGTGTGGAACAGTTGTGGGCGGTTTGACTTCATTAGGTCATCGTAGAGCAATTTTACTTCGCACGAACCTGTGGACTCGACAGTGCAGAATGTGGCTGACAGTCCTGTCTCATTTTTATATTTTAACTGAATTTTCCTGTTTTCTAATTGGTTAAAATGACTGCACGTCCGTCATTTGCTGTTCTACGATTCGGAGCAAGATTTCCTATAGAGGGAGGTAACGCATCACCACAGATGTCTAGCCACGAAGTCGGTCAAAGTAATGCAAGTGAAATGTTGCTCTGGTTTGGCTGACGATACTCTCCTATCAACCAGTTGATCGCTCTCATGCCAACGCATCCGTTTTCTAGATGGCCCAGTCGTGATGGATGTGTCTGTCGAGGGTGTGAATACATGACCCTGGACGCTTATTGGTCGCAGATGTTCACATGAATGATGGAGGCGGTCAACCAATAGAAATTGGAGGAAGTAGCACGTGCTCAAGCATCTGAATGGTGAGGTGCTTGTGGCCGGGGGGACAGACGAGATACAGGGGTGCATGAGCAGTGTTTACGCTGAGAGGGGTTGGAACGTGGGATCTGAGTGTCTATAAAGTGACGTAAAAATTGCGTAAAACTGTTGACAGGAAGCTGTTGGTTGTGTTTAGGAAGTAGTATGGCAATTGTATGGCTTCTTCGAATTCAAACTGCGTATGTTTCCTACAGGGGCAACGAGGAGAGTTTGGATTCGCTGGCTGACGATGACGATGATGCTACCGCCAACATGTCAACGAAGTTGTACGAGCCGGTAAGACCACAAGTTATGACTTTAAGCTTAGACTGATTGACAAACAAACTACGCATCATCGTTAGCCTGCCTTCAAGACGCAAACACATCACTGGTCACCAAGCCAATTGCTGGTTAAAACTCAGCCTCTTTTCCTCCTCCTCATCCTCCTTCTCCTCCTTATCTCCTTTTCCTCTTCCCCTTCTCTTTCTTCTCCTCCTCCTCCTTCTCCATCTCCTCCGACACCTCCTCCTTCTCCTCTTTCTCCTCCTCCTCTTCATTTTCCTCCTCTTTTCCCTCCTTCTCCTCATCCTCCATTTCCTCCTCCACCTCCTTCTCTTCCTCCTACTCCTCCTCTCTCTCCTCCTTCTCCTCATCCTCCTCTTCCTTTTCCTTCTCTTTTTCCTCCTTCTCCTCCTCCTCCCCCTCCTCCTTCTCATCCTTCTCCTATTTACTCTTTTCCTCCTCCTCCTCCTTCAGGTGTACGACATCAACGCTCTGCGAGAACGCCTGGAGCATTACCTGGAAGCCATGAACCTGGACAACCGCAAGGTGCCTCTACGCATGGTCCTCTTCAACGAGGCGATCGAGCACGTTGTGCGCGCGTGTCGTGCGCTTCGCTCGGACCGCGGCAACATCCTCATGGTCGGGTCCGGCGGCTGTGGCAAGGGAACGATTCTCCGACTGTCCGCCTACGTCTGTGAGTACCAGGTGTTCACCATCAACACAAGCAGGTACATCAATGCTGTCGGCTCACTGACTGGTGGAAATTTGTATCCAAAAACTACTTAAGTGATGGTGTAAGATTTCATAATCCAATGCAAATTACGTTTCTTCAATCAAAGATGTACATTTTTTGGGAATTTGATGGATATAAACTACAAATGAACAATTTTTATCAACAGGAAACAGATTTAACTTCGGGTTTTGTTACGTTCTTACGAAACCGATGCTAAACGGTAATAATTATGAGCTTGCGGTCGCTTTATCGCGAAAAATGCCATGCACAATAATGTACAATCGTACTATAGTGTCTACGGCGTTTCGAATTTGCTTGAGGACATCAAAACGATGTACCGTAAGGCAGGAGCTGGGGGCAAGGGAATCGTCTTTCTCTTCAGCGACAGGAACATCCAAGACGAAATCTTCCTGGACTACATCAACAACATACTCATGGGTGGAATGGTAAGACGATTTGACTATTTTCAAAGCCTCGCACAAACCCAGCGTTCTTATTGGCCTGTTATTCACCAATCAGCTTTCAGTATCGATTGAACTTCAAAATTCCCAATCTGCCGTTGAAGCAGAGGCTGGTCAAAGATGCTGCTCATGTTTTGTTTTAAGTCAGTCATTGGTCGGAAGCTGGAACGTCCACGTACTGCTCTTTAAAGATGAATATTTATCAGCGCAAGAGTACTTTAACAAAGTTCATGAATAAACCTTCCGTTCCTTTATCAATTTTGACCATTCTTAGAGAATTTCCAGCCGTCGATGTGATCGGATCGCACACACTGAGCGTGTAGTTGAAAGCTTCCTAATAGAGGACATGTCGGATGCAAGTTCACTGAATTTGACGTACCAATTATATTAGGTTGAGGGTTATTTCAACCGGGAGGAGCTGGAGGAAGTAAGCAACAATCTGGTAACCACGTACCGTCGAGAGCGTCCACGCAAACCCGCTGAACTGCCTCAACTCATCGACTTCTTTCTGCAACGCGCCCACCGCAATGTGCACGTGGGTTTGGTGTTTTCGCAGGTGGGCGAGAAGTTTCGTTCGCGTGCTCTCGCCTTCCCCGGCCTGATCGCCGGCTGCACCATCGACTGGTTCCACGACTGGCCGCGTGAGGCCCTCGTCGGGTGTGCCGACCGGGTGATGCAGTCGTTCGGACCCTGTCGCGACAACGCCGCCATGCGCGGCAGCTGTGTTCAGGTGGCGGCCGATGTGCACCTCTACGCCAAGAAGATGTGCAAAAACTACTTCCATATCAGCAGGCGGACAATCCACGTCACGCCGAAAATTTTCTTCCACTTTCTCGAAGCCTGTCAGACGGTGAGTTGGGCATCGTCTCAAGCACTGCGGAAAGACTTTTCTGTCAAGGATGGTCTGTGTACATTAGACTGGTGTACGAGACCATGAAATCAGTCGATTAAATGGGAAAAAACCGTGATAAAACGCACACACAGGCTCAGGTTTATAAAGGAGACATTTCAATCACGTAAGTACCGCTATCGATTGATAATTCCATCCACCGCCCTGACTATTCGTTATTCACGTTTTGCACAGTGATTTCTGAGCTAACTTTTGACGTCTTGCACCTTTGCCATGGTGCATTGGGCTTGAATGCGAGCGTCAGCTCTTTCGAGGAGATCTCAAGGTAGAACGTTTTGATGTGGTTGGTCGTTGTCACGTGGTTCAGCTGAATGATCATGCTTAGACTACGTGAGTAATCAGAACAAAGATGCTAACCGATTGTTTGATTCAACATGGGGATTTCATAGTGCTGTACACCAGCCAGGAATCAAGCACTCCTGTCTTTGTCTACAATCAACGTAAAGAAGCCATTTATCTTGGGGCCAGTTGTGGTTCGAATCAGAAAGGTAGATTTGAATCCAGAAGTGTTCCTGTGCCATGACAACATTTATTCCTTATCTGGAAGACATCCACGAACCCACAAGCAAAAAAATCACTGATTTAAACCAAGCGATTTTCTCGAATTGTTTGCAGATTTACGACAGGAAGCACAAAGAGATGACAGAGGTGACAGATCGCATGGACACGGGAGTGCAGAAGCTGAAGGAGGCGAAGGAGTCCATCGCGTTTCTCAAAGTGGAACTAGCCGAGGCCGAGGAGGAGCTGAAGGTGGCGAACGCCCAATCCGAGGTTGTGCTGGAGCGCGTCCTGCACGAGACCCAAGTCGCCTCGAAGGTGCGCAATCGCGTCGAGGAGGCGAAGCAGAAGTGCGAGTTGATAGTCAAGTCGATCGAGAACGACCACAGAGAGGCACAGCAGAAGCTCGTCGCGGCCAAGCCAGCTCTCGAAGAGGCCGAGGAGGCACTGAACACAATCAAGCCGGCCGACATCGCAACAGTTCGCAAACTGCCGAAACCGCCGAATCTAATCATGCGAATTATGGACTGTGTCGACATTCTCTTCTACCGTCCCTTAGTCCCTGTTGAAGCTGACACTGAAAAGCACGGCTTCATCAAGACCTCGTGGAATGAGTCAATCCGTTTCATGTCGAATCAGGGGTTTCTGAATCTCCTGTTGAACTATCCAAGACACATCCTGACAGACGAGATGATCGATCTGCTGGAGCCATACATGATGCTGCCTGACTACAACACGGAGAGTGCCAGAAAGACTTGTGGAAATGTGGCGGGTCTGTTGCAATGGACCACGTCGATGGTGAAGTACTTCTTCGTCAGCAAGGTCGTGATTCCACTGCAGGACAACCTAAAGAAAGCCGAGCTCGTGCTGCGCAAGGCGCAAGCGCAACTGTCCCAGGTAGAGGGAGTCCTTTCTGACAAGACCGCCATGTTGAATAGAGTTCAAGGTGAGTACGACGAGGCCGTGAGGAAGAAGCAGAAACTGCAGGACGATGCAGATCTCTGCATTCGACGCATGAACACCGCGAACAGACTGACCGAGGGCCTGATCGACGAGGCCGAGCGTTGGGAGAGCACGTCGAAGCTGTACAAAAGGCTGATCGTCTTGTTGACCGGCGACGCAATTGCCCTCGCCAACTTCCTCACGTACATGGGTGGATTCAATCAAATAATCCGCTTCTCGGCGCATAAGTTGTGTACGCGACTGCTGCGACAGCACGGTGTGCCGCATAGTGACGGATTGAACTGTGTTAAAGCCCTGGCAGCCCCGAATGCTGTAAGTCAACGAAAATGCCGTCATCCTTAATCAGCATTCTAAGCCAGATGAGTAGGTAAATTTTAGGTTGAGGCGTAAATAGGAATTGGGTTCATCCAAGTTGTCAAACGTGTTGACGAAATGCTTTAAAATGTTAAAATCAGCTCGGGTTAAATCACTACCAATTATCAATCGATTTTGGTGTGGGAATCGATTACTGGTCACACCCCGTAACACAGATGTGTTTCTTAATAAACACTGGGTTATTTGTGGTGTGTAGTTGAAAAATAGACTGACGAAGCTTGCAAATTTACGTGATGTCATTAATGCCTTGTGAAGCTGAACGAATGGAACGTGCAAGGTCTTCCATTGGATGAACTCTCGCTGCAAAACGCCGTAATTGCAACCGCCAAACTCCGCTACCCCCTTCTAATCGAT